ACCATTTTCCGGCAATATTTAATCATGTGATTAGACTTTCGTGTAAAAGCTCAGAACAAGACGCAGTGATTGTGATTTGTCCATCAAAATCCTTATTTCACATAAATGGATGATATGTACTCTTTCTACAAAAGTGTCCGCCTGAATGAAATATATAATACACACACTCTTCAAATCTCCAACCATCAAAAACATCAAGATACATACATTATATTAATTGATCAATTCAAGATCAAAACATTGATAAATTTCTCTCATAATTACATGCTAAATCAAATCAATGTCTCATCAATTCTGCGCCCCATTATGTCTCCAATTTGGTACTTGTACGTATATTACCAATTTTCTTCGGTGTGTTGAACCAACCCGTCGAATAGAATTAATTGAAAGAAATGTTTACTGCTACTGTTGCTGCTATGAATGGAATGAAAATAAATATTTGCTAAGAATTTTCTTGTTGAAATAGAAACGTTAATAAAAAAAACATCAGAAGTTGATAGCCGAAAATGTTTACAACCTTAGCAATCACTAATAAATTGAGAGCAAAGATGTAGCTAAAACTGCACAGACTTTCAGCCGGGACTTTTAGATTTCTTTCAAATATTCAGACGTTTTCTTCAATAACTTCTATTAAACTACACAATGACTTATCTATAGTTTTGCAAAAGCCAATTTGAAAAGATGTTCACGTAGAAATAAAGCAAGACGAAATAGAATTGTAAATCGATATTCAGATACTACGTATCGTTATTTTACCAGAAGCGTTTATCAGACTAACTGAATTGAAATTTAATATAGGATCTGCGCCAATGTAAAAAGAGTTGATAATAATACACAGGTCTTTTTCTCAGGTGCATAGGCTCGGTTTGTGGTCGGAGAATGGACTGAAATCACACATAAAAGACGCACATAATAAAAGCAAATACAGGCATATCCATAAATAGATTCAAAAAACAAACACACACACTCGAATTCCCTATTATCTCTATTTTCTTAGTCGCCTTGCGCGAGCTTTCCAATGGCGCAGAACGCTCCACCAGGCCCGCCTCATGAATTCCGACGTCAAGAGCGGTCTCGCCTCGAGAGCGGGCCCGCGGAGCAGGCGGCGGCGCGGGCGGCAAAGCCGCTGTCGCCGCTACTCGACGCGCCTGATGAAGACATTCGCAGGCTGCAGTCGAGATCACGCCTCGACAGCCCTTCCAGCGCGCTTGCCCGCACACAACAAGACGCAACACGCCTTCCACCGGGTTTCTTCGTTTCAGTCCCAGGGGGCGTGGCGGGGCGCGGCGGGGCGGGACCAGGTGTTCGGCACCCAGGTGCGCGACAAGGCTGCGGCCCACGCCGGGCGACGCGACGTCGCCTCGGTCGTCGTGGACCCGCCGCCGTCACCGCCGCTGCTCGGCGGGATGGAAAGGAATAGGTGGACTACTCCCATCTTTGCTCGTTCCGCGCACCACAAGTTTGCGTCAGGAACCACGTGACCACACCACGAGCACTTCGTTTCAAGAATGTGATGATGGCGGCGAAAAGAGTGGAGGAGAGATGGGTGCTGAACACAACACGTATGGCACAGGCCTACACAACATCATCATACATCCCCTGGGTAAAGCGAAATGCGTCCGAAATAGACATGATGAGATCACTTGAGAATAAGCCCACGCAGATAAAACGAAGATACTGCGACAACCGCACTGCAAAGACTGAGTGGTGAAAGAACAAACAGTAAACGAAGAAACAGTGGCATTTAACTCTAGGAATGTAATGCACCCTGCAAATGCATCCCAAAGAAAGCAAGACGAAAACGAAAAGGCAAATGACGCAAACGAAAAGGCAAATGACGCAAACGAAAAGGCAAATGACGCAAACGAAAAGAAAAATGACGAAAATAACGAAAACCCAAATGACGAAAATAACGAAAACCCAAATGACGAAAACGCAAGACGAAAATGACGAAAATAACGAAAACCCAAATGACGAAAACGCAAGACGAAAATGACGAAAACAAAAACGAAAATGACGAAAACAAAAACGAAAATGACGAAAACAAAAACGAAAATGACGAAAACGCAAAACGAAAATGACGAAAACCCAAATGACGAAAACGCAAAACGAAAATGACGAAAACCCAAATGACGAAAACGCAAAACGAAAATGACGAAAACAAAAACGAAAATGACGAAAACAGAAACGAAAATGACGAAAACAAAAAAGGAAAATGACGAAAACGAAAAGGAAAAAGAAGAAGAAAACGAAAAGGAAGAAGAAGAGAAAAGAAAAGAAGAAGAAGGGATATAGAAGGGGCTAGTAGGGCGGGCGGCGCTGGGCGTTGGCGTGGGCGTCGCGGGGGCGGGGCGCTAATGCGCGCGGCGGAGAGGCCGAGGCCGCGCCAGGGAGGGGGGCCGGCTCATCAGCGCGCCCCCCGCCGGGCCGGGGCTCGCCAAAGTGCGATGAAAAGCCCCGCCGGGAGCCCCCGCGGGGATAATCTCGGCGCGGCCCAATTTCAAATTAATTTACGACCAATCGGATATGGCTGATGAGGATCCGAATTTTCCTACCTATGTAATAGTCGCCTTTTATGAAGTATCTCCGTCTTCGACGCTTTTTCTGCCGGGCGCGGCGCGGCGCGGCGCGTCGTTTTGTTTTGTTTCGAAAGCAGTCGACGAGCCGAGAGGTAAAAAATAGCTCGTTGATGAACCGTATCAAAATGCCATCAGCATTTAGTTAGTAGCGGCTACCAACAGATTTTTCAAAAATAAAAGTGCCCGCGCTCTTGCGGCGCTCCCGCGTTTTTGTCCGGAGTCATCAGACCCCGGGAGACCGTTCGAATCCGGAGCGGAGCGACGAGACGCGGTGTGTGGCCGCGTGGAGGGGGCGTGTCCGCATCGCGGCTCGCCGCCGCGCACACACACACCGACGATGCACAAGCTACCAGCTCTACCTGTTAATTGCATTTCCTGGCAAAAAAAAAACGCCACAAACGGTAATTGCATGCGATGCAATGCTGTCCAGAAACAGCAACGCGACCATTACCTGGTGTGGTTCCGTCGAAGTTGGGCAGTGCGCAATCATGACAAAGAATATTAATGCCAACATCGGTATTTCTACCTCCATAAAAAACATTTCTTCGGATGAAGTCTCTCACATTCAGATGTTTCGCACTTTCCAAGAAGAATTCAAACTACGGAAGACAACCCTTTCAAATATTTCGAGAATTTCGTGGGTAGATTCGTGTGGTTAATTTTTGTTGTATTAACTGTTTTTTGTCATTCAAAGAATTTTGCTTTCTCATGATCGCAGTTTGTACTATTGTCACAATAAATCATTGTTAAACAATCGCAGACTAATCAATATTGGCCGATCTTACACTTTAATTTACGATCCAGAACTGACGAAAGGAAGGGCACACACAGGCCAAGTGTTTTTATGGAAAATTTTAATTTGCTAATATAATTTTGTACAAGAAAAAATAGAATGGAAATGGAATTTTTATTATTATTGCTATTATTACTTTTCCAAAACAATTATAAGTTGTACTAATGTATAAATATCTTTAATGTAATCAAATATTGGTGTTCTGCCATCCGGTTTTACCTCGACGCGGAAATAATATCTATCTAGTCCCTTTCATATATACCTAAAATGCTATTTTTGGAAGATTTTATAAGGTGAAAAACAAATAAGTTAGATTATATTTATTCAGTCAAAAAACAGTAACACTGTATGTGATGTACGGGGGAGGAGATTATCTGCGCACGTTTTTTGAGTTTCAGAATACCTTCCCGTCATTTTGACTATAAATAGTTGAAAGATGAGCAACCGTTTAAAATAAATAAATAAAAATAAATTTTAAAAAACAGCAAGATTAGCAATATTTGAAAAAATAGACATTTTCGTTTCCGAGTTATAGAAAACTTATTTGCATCGGTAAACGAATTTAAAGTATGATACTTCTGCATTGCTAACAAAATAGTGACTCGCCCTTACTTCTACTCTTCCCATTACAAGTAAAAGGAGAGTTCAACAAGCTACATTTACGTCCAGAAGCAAAACAAGGGGCCATCTCAGCATTTGCTCAATGGATCTGGGAAACTGAACAAAAACCTGATCGAGAGATGGGGGTTCAGTTATAACTCGAAAGAACATCTGCTTTACATATTAGACACAAAACTACATTTAGAAAAAAACTGTTTAAATCTGAAGGAAATCCAGGAGGGGAAGGCTACTGGAGCTTCTTATAGCGGCCCGTTGTTTCTGGGAAGCTGACGTCACAACACGAACACTTTCTCTCAGAAGTATTGAATCGCCATTACACAGGGAGATCTCCAATCCGACTGATCTCCAATCCGACTGATCCCCAATCACATCAGATCTCGACACCGCACACATTTCAAATCAGATCAGAGAGCTCTTGCGATCACTATTCGCGACCGTAGTAACCTCACACTGCACCAGCAGTTGTAATTATTGAGTTGTAATTATTATTATTATTATTATTATTATTATTATTATTATTATTATTATTATTATTATCATGATCATTATCATTATTATCATTATTATCATCATTATCATCATTATTATCATTATTATCATCATTATCATCATTATTATCATTATTATCATCATCATTATTATTATTATTATTATTATTATTATTATTATTATTATTATTATGTTAAGTTTGCATCAACTTCTAGGTCATTAACGACCACTATTGCGTGTAACGGTATGGTAACTATGAGGATGACACGATATGATAGGGGGTGAAAGGACGAACATAATACAAGCATGCCCGAGACGGGACTCGAACCCGCGATCCTTCGGTCGGAGATTGCTACTGCCTTCTCGCGATCTCGGCCATCCGGACCGGCCAGTTGTAATCTTGTGGATATATTTGTAATAGACTCGGAGTTTCACCCCGTGTTGTACAGAAATACACTAATATTACAATTTTCCATTCTAACTGAACTTTCTCTCGTGAAGTGTAAATCACTGCTTACCTGAAAGGAAAGCCCTTGATGAAGCTATAGGAGGCGCTCGAGGTGATAGCGAACAGGTCCAGCAGCACGCTCAATATGCTGATACCCTCGGCGCTCTTGTTGTTCAAGATCTTCGTGATCTGCGGCACTTTCACTGCAACAACGAGCTGAGTCAGGGGCGAGGTCATAGCTACCGGAGTTACAAGACATACTACAAGTACAATGTATAGATTAAACTAGGAAGATAATAACAGGGCATTGCAATTAAGAAGCTCAACATCCTCTAAAACCAATAAAAGATCAAATCATTCACACCTCCTACAATTCTTCTACCACTCTTCTACACTATCGGTGAAGATAACACCCTTCCAGAGGATAAAAAACATATATATTTCATTCCTTCCTCAACCGCTTCTCTACCTTCGACTACCAAGACCTTCAGCAATTCATACCATCTCCCAGTGATTCTCTGGCAGTACTCGATGTGTACCCCCACTAACTTTACTTTTTAAGTTTCGAATAAGACATCAATCATATGAAGAGTGTCTGAGCGATGTATGTTCAGAGAATAAATAAATGAATAAAAATAGCTGAACTTTCTATGCTGATCAGCTTAAAAAAATTGTGTTTTCCTTTAAAAACATAAATATCTCGCATAAATATACAAATTATGTCTTTGTGATGTTTTAGTTCAAAGTAGTTTTCCAACATGCTCTGAACATGCCCATTTATCTCACGTTTTTTGTCGACGAAAAGAGGAAAATATGTCTCATTACGTTACGTCATATAGAGCTTTCTCGCACATTTCATTTATATTAGTCAGTAGTTTATATTTTCAGAAAACTCCTTTTTAATTTCAAAAATACTCCACGACATACATGTTTTTAAATATATTTAAGAAATATAATAATTTCAGAAATGTTAATTGTTGTCGTTCTTCTTAAAAATGTGCGTTCCGATCCCCACACATGTGGCAATATCTTACAAAAACCGATTTTAAATTCAGTCGATATCGTTCTCCGCGGAGTGTGTTACCCCTTTGATTTTACAATTGGCTGCAGAACTCTGAATTCTTACGTAGCTACTGTGAATAATAAAACAAATTATATAATATAAACCTAAGTTATTCCATTAATTTAATATAAACCGAGTTTAAAAATATATTTGTATTTAAACAAAAGCGCATACTAGAGAAATTCTTACTATAGGTGTTGTTTTTTTTCCCTTCGCCATTCCTCTTTCTCTTCAAGTGGAGTTTGCAAAAATTTACAATTGTGAGCATAACTCAAATTATGAATTTAAAAAAATGGCAGATCTTTTGTAAATTGAAGTGGAATGTAAAGAAACTATTGATCCGTTACTGATCTCATGGAACTGGAATGCACAAAAGCATAATTACAATTGTTAATTCGCATTACCCATTAGACAGGACAATATAATATGTGATTGTAAATAAACTGTTAAAGAATGGTAGATCAACGGATAATTGAAGTTTAATTTCAGTTAATATAAAAAGTCAATTTAAAGTAATACCGTTTTATATAGGTAGAATAAACTTCATTATCAGGAAGCCTGGAATTCTCATTAAGACAGTGTCTGAAAGCGACATCTAGCTAACTACTGCAGTGTCGATAATTCTGTCCTTCTGTCATTCTCAGGACTCCAACGTTAGGACCATCCGTTCAAAGGCACAGTGACATTAGTTAATACCCTGAACCAACAAATTTTAATTGCACCAAGAGCACTTCAGACCAGAATTACCCAATTTTTACGCACCTGCAAGAAAAATGAGATGAGATTCGAATATTTTGCTTCTCCTTCATCATTGCAATTTTAGAATTTTGCACTTTCCTGCGAAGATTCACAATATTTATTAATAAATGCTTTTACTCAGTATTTGTTATAAATTACAAAAAAATATTATTCATTATTAACTGAAACATTTTGGAACTACGAGAGATGGGTAAAATAGTAGAAGTTGAATAGTAGTCTTCAATATTTTTCTTTAATTTCATATACGTCAAAACTTGTGCAAATAATTCAGTCCGCACTCGAAAAATATGATAGTTGCAAAAAAGGCTGCGAATAGGAAGCTCTTTTAGAGTATTCGATCTTCACGTGACTTCGAAACAGTCCACGAGATGGCAGCACTGGCTAGGCCGCACGACAGCGCTCTCAAACGGCAGCACCCTGAACTACGAGCATCGGCCTTGCTTCCCGGCACGGTCACTTGAGTGCGCAACGGAGTCGCGGGCGGGATTTCCGTTTGTGTGAGAGGTGAGCTAGATGGCCTCGTGCTTCTGGTAGACGCGGCCTTGGCTCGGGAATTGCCGGCAAACCAGAACAAAAAGATCGAACTGATGACTATCGATTTGAAGGGTGATAAACAACCGATCTGAGGCGCACAAGCACAATGGACAAGTTTATGACAATGTAACATTGTACATTTCTTGTATATATCCGTTTCTTGATTGTCTACGAATCTTCAGAACTGGCACAATCTTTTATGTGCAATTAAAGGTTACAAGAGTGTGTATATGCCTGTGACCTTAATTGCACCACATTTTTCGCTATATTCAATGGAGCTAATAATTTTTCATTTACAAATACCCAATAAGTAAATTGCAGGAAATACAACGTCCACTTTTCTTGGTTCGGCACCGACATCCCTTATTTATATGCCTGAGTGTATGTATATATGCCTGAGTGTATGTATGTATGCCTCAGTGTATATATATGCCTGAGTGTATGTATGTGTGTATGATATATGTATGTGTGTATGTATCTATGCCTGTGTGTATGTATGTGTGTGTATATATATATATATATATATATATATATATATGCCTGCGTGTATGTATATGCCTGTGTGTGTGTGCCTGTGTATCTGTGTGTGCGCGCGAGTGTGTTTTAAGAAATGTCTTTACACACTTCTTAATATATCGTAATAATATATCGTACCGTTTTTCAGTTAAGAGGGCAATTTTTGTACAGTTGTAAAAAATTGCTGTGTATTTTTTGAACACATGTTGAAAAAGAGTTCGCGAAACCATTTTCGATTTTGATGTGATTTTGTATGCCGAAACCCTCATGTCAGAAAGGAACTTCTGTGGAGGGTTTTT